GTGCTGTGCCCCGGCCTGAAGCCCGACTGGTATGGGTCTAGATAGACTGATTCATCCAGGTGTCCGGGGAATTGCTGCGCAACCACACTCTCAACAACCTTCGCCGCAAAGCGAAGGTTGGAGACCGGGCGATAGCTGGCCAACTCATCTGGGTCCAGGGAAGGCTTCTTGAGGAGGGGCCTCACGACGGCCTCCTTAAACTAGACATACCCAGCAACCGTTCCTTGTATGTTTTAGCCTCCAGTCCCCTGATCATCTTTGTTGCTCTTCTCTGTACTCTTTCTAGAGTCTCAACATCTTTTTTACATCATGGTAACCAAAACTGGATGCAGTATTCCAAGCGTGGCCTTACGGAGGCATTGTAAAGTGGTATTAACATATTAACAAAAAGATGATTCCACATTAAAAAATCATTTAGGGATTTTTTTCCTGACACCAAGATTGAAATGTTAATGATTTATGGATTTGCGTGTGCATAAGGGATGTGGGAAGAAAAGGTGTTTGCATATAACCTAATGCGAGTGAAGAATTATTAAATTTGTTTCTACATGTTTGTGATGAAGATCAGAAATCGCTTAAACGTTTTTTTTATTCTTCCTTTCTTTTTCTTTGCACTTTTATTCTTTACTAGCTGTACCCGGCCACGCGTTGCTGTGGCTCAGTCTGGTTAAATGGAAAAGAAGTGTGTTGCTTTTACGTCCAACAGATGGTGCTGTTTTTCAAAAAAAGCATGTTTTTACCTGTCACAGGTGTGACATCTATATAATAGTAGGTATATGTATATAAAAACATGCGCGTATTCGAATGCAACGTTGTGTCAAAATTTCAAAGCAATCAGTGAAGAACTTTCAGAGATTTAAGATTTTGAACAAACAAACATTTACATTTTTATTTATATAGATTATTTTTAATTTCTGAATTTAGTTTGCATTGTGTTTTACTACTGTTATTAAAATAATACTGAAACAAGCCAGTACAAAAGCATGATTTATTTCAACTTCTTATAACACATCACAGCCTGCCTGTAAATTTCAACCCTTAGTTTAAGCTGGGAAGCATCTGGTGTTCTATCTTCTCCTTTGTGACACAAATCTAGATTCACATTACATTTTCATAGGGATCTTTTGGTCTCATAATAGTTCAGTCCAGAGAGTTTTGTAGAAAAAGAAGCAGAGATGCAATTCATAACCTTCAACAGGACAAAAATGTTAACTCCCCCGATTCATCAGAATGTTATTTCTTTCCAACTTCTCCTAACAATAACTTAGCTATCAAAATTACAAATAAACTAACGGAAGCAGGAATAATATAGGTACATAAAACACTGAACTATACATATGCACTGCATTTACAAATCTGTTACAGTACAAGAAGTTTCTTCTTCCATGTAATTAATGTGGCTAAAGACTTTTTAAAATGAAACAAGCTTTTACCAAAATCTATTTTAAATATGAATAAAGAATCCATTATCTTCTATGAAGTAAATTATATGCAATGCTTATCAGCATTTATAGAATGTCTTTTCTGCTTAACTCTAACAACAGTGGTCCACTTAGCATTGGGTCACTCAGATTGCCTCATCCCTGGCTGGGAAACACTGTTCATTCACACAGATGATTTACGTTATCACCATTTTCCTTATGATGCACTTTTAATGAGTCCTTTTCCTCTTTGTGGGTATGAAATCTGAAAATAGAAGAAACACAATCATCATCCAATGAATCTGCTTATAGCTATGAACAAAAATAACTCTATATTCAAACTCTATTTTCCAATATTTTTTAAAGAAATATATGACCAATGACAACTATTTTCAATCAACATAAACTGCTGATTTTCTCATATGCATTAGTAAATGTAATAGTAGATATTTCATGTGCTTGGGGGGGGAACCAAATGATTACTTGTATAGCTGTATATAAACTCATTCTGAATCAATGCAATAAAAAATTACCTGTACACCCTAGCAATTCCCTAACAACTGTGTTCAGAACTATAGGGTTTGGGATCTTTGAAATAAAAGAAAAAATAGACTCCAAATCTTGACTCCATTTCTCCTCAAAACAATATATGATCTCTTAGTGATCTCTTTCTAGAAATTAACCAGATCTGACCCTGCTTAACTTTCTGTGATCAGTCTAGGCCAGCTATTTGCTTTCTCTTTGCTTTCTCTTTTACCCTTGATCAGGATATTGTTTACTGCTTGATTGTCTGGTGTTGGTCTGGAGCAAAATCCTGTTTATCTGGGTGTTGAATGTTGACAAGGAGATGTTCTGGTCTTTTTGTTTCCTTTTAGCTTTTTCATTAGCTCTTTTGAATGGTGTATAAATATTGCCTATCTCAGGGGTTCCCAGCCCCCAAACCATGGACTGGCACTGGGCTGTGGCCCATTAGGAACTGGGTCATGCAAGCGAGTGGGAGCCCCGTCTGCGCATGCACGGGATCAAGGCAGTGCATGAAAAAATATCTTCTGGCCTACAGAAAAACCACCCTCCACAGAACCGGTCCTTGATGCGCAAAAGGCTGGGGGCCGCTGGTCTATCTCTATGTGTCTGTTGATGGCTGATTTGTCTGGTGCCAAGTTTCCAGGAATTAACTAGTGTTTTTTGGATTTAGCTTGGTCTAGAACAGCTTGTTGAAAAATTGAGTTATTGAATAACTGAGGAATTACATTCCCTATGTATGAAGAAAGCATATAGTTCAACAGGTGAATGTTCTTCTCCAGTGTAATGTTTGAAAGGGGAACTTCTCAAATGGAAGAGAGAAGTGGCACCTAAGTGAGGACTATTCTTGTATCTGCTTGTGTAGGAGGTAGCTAAGAATGGTGAAGAGGAATGATTTTAGCAGACATCCCTTTTTTGTCAGAACTGTTGTGCAGAAGTGTACTACAACATACCTTCGTCACTTGAGTGATCATTTTCTTGTTCTTCATCACCATCATCATCTCCAATCACAGGCATATTTAGTCTCTCAGTATTTTCCTGTGCGGTCACTAGCAATGTTCCTGCAAGAAAAAAAAATTAAAAAGAAATTTTCATTTCAGCTCCACTGAAATTAAATTATATTTTTGATAGCCAATCTTATAGGAAAACCTTACATTGGAACAAGCAACATTTGAGGAACTGGGAACCATAATTCAGCCTCCAAATTTCCAAAAGCTGCAGGAATTTATCCAGTGATATCAAATGGTTAGGGTACAGTCAAGCAAGAGTGCTTGAAATTTTTGCTTCTTTTGAAAGATACATATTTATGTTTTTTTAACCACCTCAGTTACCAACTCTATGCAATATACAAAAGCAACAGCTATTATAACAATTATAAAATACAATAATATTTATAGATGAATACAACATCTGTAGTAACAGTTAATTGTAAAAATAATTATAATATTTCTAGGAGCACTCAATATTTCTATAGCACTCAAATCTGAAAGGCCTTCTAATCTAGAACAGACAACTTTCACAAGCAACATACAGACTATGCCTTTAGTTAACTTTCGAAGATCAGCAGTTGAGTCAGAAAGGTTATTCTGGTTTATCTCATAGCATGTATGTTCCATCTGTGCATTCAAAAAATACATAAATGATAGACATACTAGTATGCAAATATCCATAATTTCCTTCCCATATGTCCAGAACAAGAATCTAAAACCCCATGGCAAGGATATTGAGTTTGCACAACACACTAAGTGGCTTGGTTTACTCTGTCACCTGAACCCAGATAATAAATTCAACTGTAGCTACAAAGGATCACAATTCATATCTATAAACTGTTATTGAGTAACTTATGTAGATTCAATCTATCTTCTAAACCTGGATTAATGGTTTAAGCAGCCATTACATCCCCCTAAAAGAAAACAAGAAAATTTTCCCATAACAAAGAGTGCTCCTGTAATACTTTAGGGAGCGCACTGAAACTATGTACGGGTAGTACATATAAGGAACGTTGCTGGAATTGGGTATGTCTAGTTTAGTGAAGAGAAGGACGAGGGGGGACATGATAGCAGTGTTCCAATATCTCAGGGGCTGCCACAAAGAAGAGGGAGCCAAGCTATTTTCTAAAGCGCCTGAAGGCAGGACAAGAAGCAACAGATGGAAACTAATCAAGGAGAGAAGCAACCTAGAACTAAGAAGAAATTTCCTAACAGAACAATTAACCAGTGGAACAACCTGCCTCCAGAAGCGGTGAATGCTCCAACACTGGAAGTTTTTAAGAAGAGACTGGACAGCCATTTGTCTGAAATGGTATAGGACAGTGATGGCGAACCTTTTAAAGACTGAATGCCCAAACTGCAACCTAAACCCCACTTATTTATTGCCGGGTGCCAGGTGGATGTGGCCCACTGGGTGGGCGTGGCTGTGATGGTCCTGGCAGATTGGGTGGATGTGCCCAAGGTGGGCGGGGTCACCTCAATGTTGCTCGTGGGGAGGGATGCCTGTGGGGGGTGGGCAGGGTTGGGGGAGATCCAGGGGGTCTCTGGCAGGTGGTGCGATAGGCAGGAGGCTCATCCTGCGGGGTGAGGCAAGGCAGGGCGGGGATGCCATTGCCATGGGGCAAGGCAAGGCAAAGCAGGGGCCGGGGCGGCTGCTGCCTGACACCATCAGCCCCCGCACACAGAGGCCAGCGAGCGCATGGGGGCCGATGGTGTCCGTCAGCAGCCACAGCCTGCCGGCCCCTCGACCGGCACACTCTGGGGCTCCGCAACCCGCCGCCAGCAGTTCAAAGAAGCCACCTCTGAGCTGGATGGCCGGCCAACAGCTGAGGAGGCGATGCAGTGGGTCGTGCCTGGGAAAAGGAGAGCATGCGAGGCCAGGAGGGATGGGACGGGGGGAGGGAAACCAGCCGTGCCGGGATGCATCCAGCCACGTGGGACCTCGGCAAATTAGCAGGCAGCTGGTTGAAGAGGGACAGTTGCCATCTCCGGGGCATGGCACACGTGCCCACAGAGAGGGCTCTGAGTGCCACCTCTGGCACGCGTGCCATAGGTTTGCCACCACTGGTATAGGATTTCCTGCCTGAGCAGGGGGTTGGACTAGATGACCTCCAAGATCCCTTCCAACTTTATCATTATCATCATTATTATTACCTAGTCCTTTACTTAACAATGATTGCCAGTGACTGTTCAGAATCGCAATGGACCCCTCAAAAGGAACTTATGATCCATTTTCAAAATTCCGATGTCAACCTCTCCTGTTGTCAAGTAATCACATTTTGGGTGCTCAGCAACCGGTCTGTATTTATAGTCATTTGCAGCACTCCACAGTCACATTTTGCCAGAAACTGACATTTACTATTGATTTCTGGCAAAAAAAAAAAAAAAAAAGGCCCACAGCAAAAAAATAGATTCACTTGACAACTGCCACAAAAAAGGTCATAAAATGGGTCTGGTCATACAGTCACACGCTTTACAACCATCACAATTTACAACAATAATTGCCAGGCTCAATTATGGTCCTAACTCAAGGACTATCTGCAATCCATTTTACATGGGATTTCCCAAAAGACAATCTGGGGATTGTGGATCGAACAAAATGCAATCGGGAAGTTGTCAGATAATAAATGTTGAAGGTCTATACAGGATGTCTATTTGTCACAGAGCCAACTCATATGCTTAAATAAGTTACAACCTGATTACTTGAAGAAGGATCTCCCTTTGTATTGTCCTGCTTGGGACCTGAGAACCCTTGGATTAAATTCTTCCTATATCACAATTGCAAAATCCTTCCCACTGGACACGAGACTGTTACAAACAATGATTTACAGATGAACCGATTGTCTTTCATCAGACCTTTTCATCAGTTATGGGACTGTTATAAAATAAGATACAAACACACACACACTACTGGCAGATTGATTTATAAGACAAGAAAGAACATTCATGAATAATACATTTAAAAGTGACAAGCACGATGAAAGGCTCAGAAAGGACACATATCTATTTATTTTTATTTATTTACCACCCACCTTTATTATCAAACATTTACATCTCTTGTGTTATGGTACAGCATTCACAATGCACAGTGGTCCATCCCATTAGAGGGACCTACTGTATACACCAGGGGCATTGTAAAAATAGAAAAAGGATTTCCCCAGATTAATCCTACTATGCTAATTACCTCTGTTTTGCAGATGTTCTGCCTTCTTTGCCGTTGGTAAACATTTCCTGACCCTTCTATCCCTAGGCTGTCTCCCACGATTTGATCCCAATTCAGAAGATTCCAGCTTAACTTGGCGATGTCGTCTGGACTTTGAAGCCTAAATGGATTTTCAGCCAAAGAAAGTGCAACAAAAAATAAATTATCCAATGAAAACAGATTAATATTGCTCTGAAAGAGAAATATGTGCTCCAATGAATTTACATAAGATATTTAATTCTGCCACTATGTTGTAAACTGATCCTATGCCATGTTCATCAAGAGCATGTTTACAAAACTAAGTCATATGGCGTAGGTAGGTTTAAAAGTGCACCAATGGAAAAAATCCATTCTAACTATTAGGCTCTGCTATCTGCAATTGGGAATACAAGCTTGTATATTGTTATGGTACTGTTTCCAGGAAAGATGGGGAAAATTTCAGTTTCAAAGAGGAAACTTCTCCTCAACCACCAGAGCAGGGAGGCAGGGAATACTATGGGTCATCTTTCCTAAGGAAGTTCATCTAACAGGACCAAGGAGGGCCTTCTCCCTGGTGGCTCCCTCCCTGTGGAACATCATCCCATGGAAATAAGATTGGCTCCCACTCTAACACTCTTTTGCAAGGTCCTAAAGAGCTGGACCCCAGAGTGGGATGGAACCCATCAAGTGGCTTAGTTGATTGACTGATAGTTGTTGTGCAGGGATATTGATAGTTATTATTTTTATATTGGACTTTTATCTTTGTAAACCATCAGGAGTTACTGATAGTGAATTGGGCAGCCATAAAAACTTCTTAAATAAAATCATGGAATGAAGTGGTTGACTGCCTCTTCTCTCCATGGCAGTCCTCAACATACAACTGTAATTGAGCCTGGAATTACAGTTGTAAGTCATGGCAGTCATTAAGTCAGGATTAAGCTGTTAAAAGAAATTGTTTGTTGCCAACTTTATCTTTACATACTAAAAAAGCATGTTAAGGGTTATATCCAATGTTACATAAGCCCAGATTCTACTTATTAACAGGACATCTTGTTTAGCACTAATTTAATTTGTTTAACTGTTTCAAATTGCTTTTCTTACAGACACACTGAAACTAAGTTCAGTACTTATGTTCAGATAATTATGACCTTTAAGAGAGCCAGTGTAGTGTAGTGGTTAAAGCATAAAACTAGAAAGTGGGACACCGTGTATTCTAGTTCTGTCTTAGGCACAAAGACAACAGGGTGACCTTAAGCCAGTCATTTCCTCTTAGCCATAGGAAGAAAGCAATGGAAAACCACTCCCCAAAAAAACTTGCAAAGAAAATGTGTATGGAGATTCTCAGTCATCCGGATCATGGTTGTCTCAAAGGTGCTTTTTCATGAGGCAACTGGACTTTCTTTTTTTCTCTTTGAAGACGTTTTGCTTCTTGTCCAAGCAGCTTCTTCAGCTCTGACTGGATGGTGGGGAATGGAAGGATTTATATTCCTTGCAGACAGCTGGTCATTTGCATTCTTTAAGAGAGTTGTTGATGCCACCTGTGTCATCAGGGTCACCTCAGTAATGCAAATGAGTGTGAAGCCTTCTTGGAACTGTTGAAAGGATTGTGTTGTAGACTGAAGATAGATGATGTCGTATTCCTCCCCCTCTGATGAGAGAAGGCTGTTCAATTTTATTAGCTCCGTTAGTTGGCAACACCACCCATTACATCAACAATTCACACGACTTCACCAGCAAGGTTTGGTAATTAAAACTGGACTTAATTGAGACCATGGTTTCCTATGATGTGACTTCCCTCTTCACTTGCATTCCAACAACTGAAGCTGTCATGGTAGTGAAGAAACGACTGATATAAGACCACACTTCAAGTGACAGAACCAACCTCAGCCCAGACCACATATGTGCCATGCTGAACCTATGACTGACCACTATCTATTTTAAATACAGTGAAGGTTTTTATAGACAAAAACACGGCTGCACCATGGGTTCACCTGTGAACCCATTGTAGCCAATCTCTACATGGAAGAGGTAGAAACCAAAGCCTTCACAGGACTTTACCCATTCATTGGTATAGGTATGTGGACAATACTTGGGTCAAGATCAAAACACAGGAATTGGAAGCATTCACCAAACACATCAACTCGGTGGACAGATACATCAAATTCACATGTGAAGATGTTAAGGAAAATAGTCTAGCTTTCCTGGACTATGCAATATACATTAAGATAGAAGCTTTAACATTGAAATTTACAGAAAATCCCCACATACAGATCAATATTTTCATTTTGATTCTCATCACCCACTGGAGCACAAAATGGGAGTTATCAGAACCCTACACCACCGAGATGAAGGCCTGCCTACCAGCAAAGATGAGAAAGAAAAAGAACTAAAACACATCAAGGAAGCCCTCAGAACTTGCAGCTATCCCAAGTGGGCCTTCATCAAATCCCCAAAAAGACTCAGCACGAGCCCCTCCATAACAAAGAAGAAACAATAAACGAAACAACATTGTCATTTCATACACTGCAGGAATATTGGAAAAGCTCAAAAGGATCTTCAGCCAACACAACATATGTGTACACTTTAAACCCAAGAATACACTAAGGCAGAAGCTTGTCCACCCCAAGGACAAAACACCCAGATATAAACTGAGCAATGTACTATATGCAGTACCACGAGGGAAACGAAACAACTTCATAAATGTATGGCACAACATAGGAGAACAAACCCATCAGGACAAGATTCAGAAGACAAAGGCCACTCTTTCAAAGACAGCAAAGTCCAAATTTTGGGAAGAGAGGACCGTTGGTTTGAAAGAGGGGTCAAAGAGGCCATCTATGTCAAAATTGGAACAGCCTTCTGTCAGCAGAGGGGGAGGAATACGACATCATCTATCTTCAGTCTACAACACAGTCCTTTCAAGAGTTCCAAGAAGGCTCCACACCCATTTGCACTACTGAGGTGACACTGATGTCACAGGTGGCATCAACAACTCTCTTAAAGAATGCAAATGACCAGCTGTCTGCAAGGAATATAAATCCTTCCAATCCCCACCATCCAGTCAGAGCTGAAGAAGCTGCTTGGACGAGAAGTGAAACGTCTTCAAAGAGTAAAAAAGAAAGTCCGTGAAAAAGCACCTCTGGGACTTGCAAAGAAAACTACAGGGATATGTCCAGGGTGTCACTGGGAGTCAAAGACACAACCCCCCCCCCAAAAAAAAACAGCCTTTACTTACTTACCTGAGCAACTGAAGAATATGATCTGGATTTGATGTCAGCTAATGTTTTAGCTCTGCCAGATCCCTGAAAAGAGAAGATTGCCAATACAATTTGCACTACCTTTTTTCTTTCTTGACTTCTAATGTTTTAACAATTAATATCATGCACAAAAATTTGAAATAAATGGTAGAAATTTATCATTTTTCTTTGTAAATAAATTGCTGTTTCAAATATCTACTCAGCTCTGGGGGCAACAAGGATAGTAATCCAGTGATAATCCATCCCCACCCCACCCATCCGTCTCTTCTTGTATTTTTGGTTCTGTACTAAAGAGCTGAATTAGAAATGACTGCAAGGGACTTTTATAATTATATCCTACTAGGAATTCCTATAAAGAAATTAAGTATTCCACCATGATGAAGATGATTTCCTTACTTCAGACTCTTGGGAACAACCTTCTTTTCTATTCCTCATTTTGTCACCCACAGTAGATAAGGGCGATTCCTGAAAAAATGTAAATACTATTTAGATTCCAGAATGCATTAGATACACATCAGATTTGTATAGTCAAATCATCATATAGATGAAAGGTGACTTTCCTCTCCCAGCAATATCACAACAGGACACATGCATGTGCTCAAAAAGCTACAAACTGCTACTCCATTTAAATGGAAAACTAGTTCCAACATCATCCACCAGAAATTTCTTGCCTCATGAAGCAAGATTACGGCTGCCTCTTTCAACATGACTTTGCAACAAGTCTTTAAATATTAACAGTTTTGAGTTGCATCTATCTCAAAATACTTCAGAGAGACCTCGAAGACATATTTTTTTCACAGCACAGTACCTGTGCATTTGGTTTTTCTTGCCTAAATGTAGAACCTGACTTTTTTCACCATTGAATGTCATTTTGTTAGATAACATCCACTGTTCAAGTCTGTCAAGATAGTTCTGTATTTAAGCCTATTTACAGACCAATTTATAAAGAAAAATGAAATTATATACCATTTTCTTTTTCTGCCACTGTTGATAATCCAGAATGGTATCTTGGAACTTGGCTATGAAGTCATCTTTAATCAAACTGATAGCCTTATCTGGCTGACTTTGGTCCATAGAGATCAGACATTTCATTCTTTGGTAGTGCTCATGAATATTTTTTGTTTCCTTATAAGTAAAGCAGATAAAAAACAAAATTTCTTAATAACTCCATTAGTAAAAATTGAGATTGTTGTCATATTTTGTACTTCCTGCTCTTAATGTTTCATCCAAACAGAAAACATGATCAGTTCTGCATTCATATTGGAAATATATGCTGGTAAGACTAAGTTAAAGATTTGGATCTGTGTCAGATCACAGAATTGTTAGAAAAGAACTTGTTAACCAGAAGGTGCAGGTTATGAATGTGCCTTTAGGAATTAAAAGAGATTGTAATATCTTTTTATATAAAAAGGGATCTCCTTTGTTTTTATGTTCTTTAACTTTTGATCTCCTGGGGGAGATCAGATGGAGTTGGAGGTCTCTCAAAATTCAGGTAGTTTGTAAAAGGGGCCTGGCCTTGGATTTCAGCAAACAATCTGAGGGTCAAGCATCAGATATAATCCATACAAACTCTGGATTACATTCACAGGAAGATATTCGGATTATAAGGTGTTTTTTTTTAAATGTTACATTTCTCTGTAATGTTGAATATAGATAACATTGTTACAGTGATCCTGAATAGGACATAACCCAAAAATTATCATATTAGAGCAAGGTGTTAAGTATACCTCCAAGAAATTTTCATGGCAAACCATGGCAACACGATCAGTAGGATCTCTGAATTCCCTCTTCATCTCAGTATTTTCATGCATGTTCTTTTTAGTCCTAAATGAGAGCTAAAGAAGAGACAGTCATATCAGAATCAAAACAATAGGAAAAGCATGTATCTGAATCACCCAGCATGCATTAATTGAAATTTCAGGCCTTGTTTATGCCACAATAGCAGTAACTCTCAACAAATACCAGCATCAACCAAGGAGCTTCTTAATGAGGAGAAAACCAAGTGAAGCCAAGAAAAATGATTACATTCGAAACAACATACAAACTCTGTCACAATTACATATAATCCAAAGAACCACAGAAGACTTTTCTATCAGAATTAGATCTCACCAACCGAGCACCAAATATTTAGGTTCAGTTTTGCAGCAAGCAAAATTGAGGATTATGAGAAAAGCCAATCATTGTGGAAACAACAAGCATTCTAAAACAGCTTGTCAGCTCAACCTTTCTAATATATTAACTGAAGAAACATTTCTATCAGAAAGAAAATAGGATATGTGCTAGAAAATCTGCATTTTTCTCATTCTCCTGTGATGCTTGGATATTTCAGGATAGAGAATAGGAAGTAGGATACCATACTGAAACAAACACAACTTTGTTAGCTGAATGATAAGAAGACCACCCATTCAGCCAGAAAAGAGAGAGGGTACAATGGGTACTTCTGTTAATGTGGTTTTAATAACTCACAAATTTGGGCATTGCTGTGAAATAGAATGCTTTGTCCATCCGAAGGTTCCTGAAGATATATGCTGCATCATAGTGCTGTGCATCTAAAAGTTCCTGCTTGAATTTACTGACTTCAGCCCAATCTTTAAGTGCAACCCTAATCTGAAATGCAAAACAAACAAAAGTGTCTTCAAACAAGTCAGCATCATACCCTGAAGTGTGAAGTAATTAAACAACCTATGTGGCTAACTAAATGGATATTACAAAGGATGTCAGCACAATTGGATATCTAAATCACCTAGCTCTAACTGAAGCAAGAAACTGGAGTGCTTTAGTTTATTCAAAATGCAGGGAGTGGGGGTTTACATGGCCTTCTTACAATTAATTCCCAGAATATTTAACAGTAGGAGATAGAAAATTATTTCTAGACTTCATTATTACATGATAGTTTTCAGGTTAAAAGGAAAAAAAATCTCCCTTGAGTTTGACTCCTGACGATTACATAAACACATCCATGTTATTTTCTTGGCAACCACACAGAAGTAATTTGCTTGTTATGGGATTTTTAAAAAATCTCATACACTAGCCTATGGCCTCGGGTGGTTTGCTATCCCAATAACAGCTCTAAAGTATCTCAATACTTTTTAAATTAATGACAGTTTATATGTACACATTTCTACATGCTGCTTTTTAAGTTTATCTAATATGTTTAATGTATATTGCCACTCTTTAACAGTCCTGTAAAGAAGTCCATTTTTAACCCTGTATAACACAGACCGCTCTGAGATAAAAAAAATCAGAGCATACTATTTACTAGGTCACTGTTCACCATTCACCTTCATACCTTTTATAGTAAATAAAATTTCAACTCCCCAATACTGAAGATCAGTTACAGCATAAGATTACTGGACAAATGTAGAGGACAATGAATTAAAAGCAGTTTAAGTTTACCTTTTGTTTTGGTTTACATAGTTGTGTGTTGTACAAACCATACAGAAGATAAAGAGCACCAACTCGGATCTGGAAAGTGTAAGGAGGCAAAAAGTAGGGCCATACCAGGGCTAAAGCTTCTTTAGTGAACTTGATTTGCTCTGGAGTCCTTATTTTACCACTAGACAAAAGATCAACACAAAAATAAAAAAATACAATATTTATCAACCTCAACCAAAATGTAAGATCTTAGTCCCAGAAGAAATTAATTATCCATCTACATCAAGAGGAAAAGATTGAAATATGCCATTTGTTTTTCTATCAAATATGCACAAGTTCTGCTATAAATGTTATTCATTTGTTTATTGCACTCACAACTGGAACATTTATAGAATAAAAAGTAGAACAAATTACATTTCTCTATACAAGATGCTTGGAACAGGTAATCACTTTATTTGAACTTATTAATCAAGTATTATTTAAAGCAGGAGTATACTTTTTAAGAACAATTGTTTTTTCTTCAGTCATAACTATCTGTAGAAGTCTGTATCTGTCCTGTTTAGTTGTTGTACCAAATCAGCAACCAAACTATCCATCTTTTCTCTCCGGTTTTCTATATTTAATACTCTAACATATCTAAATAATAGAATATTAAGAATTTAAGTGTATAAATATAATTCGATTAAAATAACAAATTGTATCAAGACATGATACCAGTGTTCCAATATTTGATTTAAGTATATAAATATAATTCGATTAAAATAACAAATTGTATCAAGACATGATACCAGTGTTCCAATATTTGAGGGGCTGTCACAGAGAGGAGGGGGTCAACCTATTTTCAAAGCACCTGAAGGCCAGACAAGTAATAACAGATGGAAAGTGATCAAGGAGGGATTCAAGCTGGAAATAAGGAGAAATTTTTTGACAGTGAGAACAATCAACAAATGGAACAGTTTGCCTCCAGATGTAGTGGGAGTTTCATCACTGGAGGCTTTCAAGAAGACACTGGACTGCCATCTGTCAGAAATGGTGTAAGGCAGAGGTCCTCAACCTTTTGGGCACCAGGGATTGGTTCCGTGGACACAGGTGTTTCCGCGGACCAAAGGGGGCATGGTTTTGTGTGCTGCCTGCATCCCGCAGATGGGGCTTTGCTTGTTTGTGTAGACCGGTTGCTGGCATGCTGTGGCATGGACCAGGGGTTGGGGGCCCCTGGTGTAGAGTCTCCTGCTTAGGCGGTGGCGGCGGGGGGGTTGGACTAGATCAGGGGTCCCCAACCCCCGGTCCATGGACCAGCACCAGTCCGTGGCATGCCAGCAACCGGTCTGCACAAATAAGGAAGCCCATCTACGGGATGCAGGCAGCACACAAAATCATGCATCCTCCAATCCACAGAAAACCCTATCTCCACGGAGCCAGTCCCTGGTGCCCAAAAGGTTGGGGACCTCTGGACTTGATGGCCTTACAAGGTCCCTTCCAACTCTGTTATTCTATTCTAAGATGTATACTAACACAATAAAAAGAAAAAAATGTGGAAATATGGAAAAAAAATAAACCTGCAGAGGACTCAACTGCCAGAATGCCAAACCAACATCCATCATATCAGGAAGTTCTCCAAGTTGCATCCCAATGCATCTAAATGGAGGGCTGCTCCAAACATATAACCTTTTCCATCCTGACAATTTTTCTCATCCCTAACCAGCATATTCAGTGACTAGGGAACGTGCAACTAAAACTATATAAAAAAAAGTGCAGGAAGATTTCCCAACTATTTTTCTACAGTGAATAAGAAGAACACAAAGGCGGGGGGGGGAGTGAAAAAGCGCGGGGGAAGGCAGAGAGAATTCAACCGTGATCAAAATAAACTTTTCACAAGCCTGCCACAGGGTCAGGACTCACAGATGGACCGTCCCAGCGCCGCTCTCTCTCTCTCCTGGAGCGAGGGACTTGAAACCACAAGGGGTGACAACCAACAGTTACTCACTAAAAAATGGTGTGAAAGCGGTTCTGCCTCCAAAGCAAAGCGAAATCTTCAAAGCGGACGCTCTCGGCTTGCTGGAACCGAGTAAGCAACGCCTCGCAGTCCGTCCTCAGCCCGGGCCACCCGTTCATGATCTACGACGATCGGCCGGGGCGGAGAACCCCGCGTACGACCACCACCCCGACTGCGCACGCGCAAACAACTACGCCTTGCCGAATGGGCGGGATTCTACTTAACCCGTTCTCCGGCCAAGGTAAGAGAACTTCGAATCTGCTTAACACGGACTCACAACGCGCCGCCTTCGAAAGGGTTCGTTCCATTTGGGGGCGGAGGAAAAGAATCAGACCAATCCAGGCTACTTTGGGTTCTTCGCTCCGCTTTTTTTTAAAAAACTGACGTCACCATCCTGGAAGGCGGAGTGAGCGTCGTTTTATTTTTTTTTGTCTTGGAATCGGAATGAATGAAGGGTCCTGGGGAGATATCAATTACTGGTTTTCCCTGCTGCAGTGTTATTCATTTATTTAAGATATATTTATTTTACCGATAAAAGAATATGTATAGCTCAGGGATGAAATGAGGGGTCCTTGATGCTCTCTGAGCTTGGTCGTCTTCTTGCAGACGTTTCATTACCCACAGCAACAACCAAGCTCAGAGCATCATATATTTATGTCTTCGTACCGCTGTAATGGTGGTCTTCTAATATTATGTGAAAGCATCGGAGTCTCCTTCCTGCTTCTCGCGCATCGGTAATTATGTGTCTGGTCCAGGCTGTACATGTAGCAAAGCTGAACAGCCAATGTCCAATAATAAGAAATCCCCCCCTCCCAGTAATAAAAGAGAAAGAGAGAGAAGCACTACCTGAACATTACTCGTGTTTTTCCAGTCCCCCCTCTGACTGGTCTGTTTTGCCAAATTAGAATTTGAACTGTCAGCGGAGGGGGAGTGTATTTGTGTTTGGGCGTGTGCATGCACACAAAACCAGTGTCGTTATTTTCTGAAGGGGTGGGAAAACAACCTAGGTAGAGTAATACTGGTTTGTTTGTTTTTTAAGCGTCTACTCTAAACGCAAAAGGAATAATTATTTCTTTTTCCTCTCTGTTTTGAAATCTATTTTGATTGGATTTAGAGTCATAAAAAAATTGTTATGGTCTTTTTTTAATTATATGCCACAAAGACGTGGGCAATTTCTCATCAAGTGTAATAAATAAGGTTGGAAGTCCTCACATATTATTTAATCGACCGCTTAATGATTTCCTTAATAAGTGTCAACCACCTATTAAAAAAAACTTCTGTAATTCCACATCTTCACAATAATTTCATTCACATAACGTACTATAACCAAACAGTATATAATAAATATTAATTAAATATATTGATTATCTGCTCTCTTACCAGTATGGAGTGAATAATATTTAAACTTTGCTCTCATTTTTTCAGGACTAGTATTTACAAACTATCACAGATTGATTTAACAGTAACCTTAAATAAAAGTTACATAACAACATTACTTTTCATAAGCTCATCTTTTACTTCTTTATATATCCTAACTATCCCTCCCCCCTTTTTCTCTGTCTTTCTTCTCCTTATATCTCTTCAGGTTATTAGCTTTTTGTCTTTCTTGTAAAATTATCCACAAATACTTTACCTCGTAACATCTAATCACATATTGTTTCTATGACAGTCCTTCAAAAATTAATGTAAAGCATTCTGCCTAATGGAAAATTATAGATTGGGTTCAATCTGCAGTACCAATAAATCCTGAACAAGCTCACTTAGTAAGAGAATATTCTGTCCTGCTACTTCATTCTATACAGTGCCCCTTGCCGAAAAATACATAGCTCAGTCAAGAACTATCTTTTCTGATACAGAGAGGAAGGGTGGGGAGGGTGGGAAATACTTCCTGGCTCTGTCTAGAGTGCTGAGCTGCACGTACAGTGGGCGTGGCCCCACTGAGCGGATTGGCTGGGAGCATCCGGAACATTCTCTCATTTGCATCTCCTTCCCGCATCTGGGAGAAGCATCCTCAGCTGAAACTAGACCAGCACAGCACAGCAATTTCCAATAGACGTTGTGATGTGAGTTATTTAAGAGAACGTTTTGGGCAAACTGGTAAGTATAATGGATTATTGGAGATTGGAAATGCTTTGACAATAGTGAAGTACTGAAATTGGAAAGTTTGTGTTTTTTTAAATAACTGTACATATAAGTGGCTTTAGGAAGCCTAGAATTGATAAAAAGCGGGAGATAATTGGATGAGGCATAAAGCTATTGTTAATCATTATGAAAGTTGAAGGAAACCTTCAAGAAATAAATCCAGTTGGCCTCCCCCTCCCCTTCTTGTTCCTCTTCCTCTTCCTTTCTTCCTTCCTTCTCCTCTTCCTCCTCCTCCTCCTCCTCCTCCTCGCACTTTTATCCATCTATTGAGTTTTTTCCAAGAACCTGAGATAGGCAGATGTTGTTGTTAAAGATATTGTCGCAAGATGTAAGCTGTTCTGTGTAAAACTGCCTTTTGCAATTGATTGATGGTGATTTGTTTTAATGCCTATGGTATTCAAGTGGTGCTCTAATTGTTTTGGGATGCACCCAAGGAACCTATTACTGTTGGTACTATCTTTGCTTTCTTTTGTTCTATCTTTGCTTTCTTTTCTTCTGTTCTGCTGACTCCAGGTACTGCCACACCCACAATCCAGACTTTTTTGTCTTTCTTATCAACAATTGTTAACTCTGGGATGTTATGTGGCAGGTGCTTGTCTGTTTGAATTCTAAAGTCCCAGAGCACTTTAGCATCTTCATTATCCATTGTTTTGTCTATTTTGTGATCTCACCAATTCTCACTTGCAGGCAAATGGTATATTTTTGCAGATATTCCGATGCATTATTATTGCTACTTTGTCATGCTGTTGTTTGTAGTCAGTCTGTGCAATCTTGCAGCAGCTAACTAGGTGGTTCACTGTTTTTTCAGTTTCTTTGCAGAGGTGACATTTGCTTTCTGTTGCTATCTTCTCAATTCTGACTTTGTACTCATTTGTTCTTAAGCTTGGTCTTGTATTGTTATTTTCAACTCAAGATGGGAAACATACCTAGTATTCCTGCATCTTGCTTTCCTGGATTTGATTGGCAAGATATAGAACCAAGTTGCTAGATTAAATTTCCTTCTGTCTGACCAATTATGTCTTATAATTTGGCTGCCCTCCATCCCCATCCTAATCCAGCTTTTGTACATACTACAAGGATCCTATTACATTGCCCCTCTACCCCTGAGGCACTACGCATGGAGGAACAGGTATTTGTAGGGATTAGTAGTTGCAGAATATACTGAAAAGCTACAGTTCTTTTTTACATCTGGACATCTTCTCTAGGTGAGGGAACCAATCTTCTTTCATTTCAACAGTTTTAAATTTTAGCTATTATTATTGGTTTTGATGGTAGCATTAGACAAGTTCCTCTGCTGTCTTGAATTAAAACTGCAGTTTTCATGTAGTGTTTCTCAAAGTTTAATAGGAAATCTGTATTTGGAGATGAAGGAACTAATAAAATACTTTGTTAGTTGGTGGTTTGTGAGTTCACTAAAAAATAAAGATGGCATTTCTAGATAAGATCATTTCAAAAAGAAATATGTTCCACATTGTTTACAAATTACACAGGGTAAGACATTCCTATTATATCAAACTGTATACCGCTTTCTTTTCAGAAGGTAAAAAACATTTAAAACATGTTAACATTTAAAAGCAGCAGCCGCCGCCAAAAGTCAGGACCACTGAAGGTCAGTGGCTGAGACCAAGGAGCTGAAACATAAAACCAGGGTAAAACAACAGTCCTGCATTCCCTAGGAATAGCAGGCTACCTGACTCCCCTTACTCATCACCACCACGATACTCAGGCTTGCCTCCACTCTTGTACTGGGAGCCCCAGCTCAAAATTAAGGCCCCCAATTCCCAAAATCAGAAATCTTCCACTGATTTCTGCAACCATTCTTGAGCAGGGAAGCCAAGCATCCAAAGCACATTAGCCTCACTAGCTCTCAGCATCATCAGGATACCTAGCTAACTACCATGGCTCTACAAAACATACACACACTGCAACACACATATACATACTAATACTCGCTAATACAGGAACTCTCCCTTGCTGCTCCCACCAGCTGCTAGAAGGCTCCCATTCTCTCTCTCTCTCTCTCTCTCTCTCTCTCTCTCTCTCTCTCTCTCTCACTCTCTCTCTCTCTCTCTCTCTCTCTCTCACACACACACACACACACACACACACTCACACTCCTATTCTTCTCTGGTTCTCACCCAGGAGGAATCAGTCTTCTATAGTGGGTCTAGCAGATGGATCATGTCCTCTTCCTTATTCTCAGGGTTATCCAGGGAAGATGAAGTAGCCTCAATGAGAAAAGGGGAGTCCACAATACTCTGCCACTCTATCCCTCCCCCCCCCCGCCTCTGCTCTAAAGCCCCAGCAACCAACAAGATGGTACAGGAAGATGTCCAGTAGCCATAGCAGCGAAGCCCCAGTGTCCAGCAGCAAGCACAATTGGTACGACTAAGGTTTTTACATTTGCTTATCTGTCACTGACTATATTGTGAAAATGTATATATTCACATCCAACATGAAAATCAGAATTTGGATACGGAATCTGCTTCACACAAAACCCCAGGTTTATTTCTTACAAAACAGAACTTAACAATTAATGTTTTCTGGCCACAAATATATATATGCAATTTCCAATAGAAGAATAGAATAGAGCTGGAAGGAACCTTGGAGGTCTTCTAGTCCAGCCTCCCCGCTCAAGCAGGAGAACCTATAACATCTCAGAGAAGTGACTGTCCAGTCTCTTCTTAAAAACCTCCAGTGATGGAGCGCCCATGATCTCTGAAGGCAAACTGTTCCACCGCTTAACTGTCCTCACTGTTAGGAACCCTCTCCTTAATTCTAGGTTGCCTCAGTTTCCAACCATTGTTTCTTGTCCCGCCTTCAGGTGCTTTGGAGAATAATTTGATCCCCTCATCTTAGTGGCAGCCTCTCAAATACTGGAGTGCTGCTATCCTACCCCCCCTATTTCTTCTTTTCTTTAGACTGGCCATATCTGAGTCCTGCAGCCGTTCTTCATATGTTTTAGTCTCCAGGCCTTTGATCATCTTAGTTGCCTTTCTCTGAACCTTTTCCAAGGTCTCATGTAGT